AGAGCGGTTTGGTTGGTCTACGTGAAGAAAAACATGATCCATATACCATAATACGAGTCGCAATATCAATATCATAGTCAGGTCTAGTGCTGTTTTTTGTGGATTTCGCTTTTTACCCGATTGAAGATCCAACATTTGTGCCAGCATGAACGAGATATTGATGCCAGCAACTGCGAAAGGATACTCCCATTCCGCTCTTGTTCCATCTTGCTTATGCAGCAATCTCTGGAACGATTTCTGTTTATCACGGATGAGGCTCCTCGTTAGAATCATCATCGAGAACAAAATCTATCAGAAAGGGGAGACCAGGAAGAGAAACAATCTCAACCGGCATAACGATACAACAGACCCATCTCAGTCTAAAATTCCAGTGTCTAACTTGTTAAGTCCAATAAAAGGTTAAGCACTTTAATAACATAGCCGTTAAAAGTTTAAATACTGAATAGCAATATCGGGTAAAGATTCCACATTTTTTCCTAAAAGTATCAACTTTCTAAGACGGCACAAGAAAATTCGAATACAGATGTAAGAAAGAGATGCATAACAGACCGGGTAGGCCTTGGCAAAGAAGATTAGATTCTCCAGAGATATAAATCCCCCACCCCTGCAGTAATTTTAATAAACCGGTCATCGACAAAATGCAATAAAGAACTAAGAAGAACTTTAATAGAGTGAAGATCTACATTTTCATACCGAAAATCCGTTGAAGGATCCGTTCCTTGCCAACCCATTTCTTTCCAGAGTTCAGATTTGAGAGGTGGAAGTTCCCTATGTGGATAAGCCAGCCTCCATAGCTGTCTAAGCGCATCCTGTGAAACATGCGGTGTAAAAAAATTACTTACAAGCAGATGAGAATGTGTTCCAGATATATCTTGTTGATCAGAGAGCTCAAGCAATAGGATCCAAAGTGCGGAAAGAAATTTAATCAAGCAATGGCTCAGAAATGTCACTAAGTGCAGATTTCCAGAAGAATAAGCAAAAATAGATTCATGAAACACCTACCTGATGCTCGGATTGAGATCCGTCAAATGGGACTTCTAGTCTTCGCTGAAGATTCTTCAACCTTTCTTCCTAGTACGATGTAAAAAAACAGAACAATACACAGTCATACACGTAAAACTGGAAACAAGGGAATCTTAAATTATGATGAAACTCAGCAAACTAGAAACAGAGATAATATCACGAAGCGATCACAACATCATGTAGTGCTCAATTGCTCATGCCGTAAAAAATGTTTGAATTATGATACATTGAATTAGGCAATTAGCTATCTTTCTCACTCTTAGAGCTCTAAAGATTATAAGAGAATGCACATAACTAACAACGTAGTTACACAAATGACATTTTCAATGATTCCACAGAGACAGACAAACCACATTCACCTTGTTTCTAGCCCCGGAAAACTAACATGTAAACGTGAGAATCAAGTGATGATATGATGTAGAAATTTCCAATATACCCCTATTCAAATATCATGAACTGTATAGATTGCTTGAAGATATGGCAGATTCTTAAAACGGGTGATTACCTGCAAAGGACTAAGGGTGGGGGGCAGAAGCTTCCCACCTGAACCAATTTGACCAAAAGCAGACAGAGACAAGAACCTCCCGACAAGTGAGCCGGAACCAAATACAATATTGGCTGCAAAACCAAATCACGGAGTTATGAACAATGTTCAATTACAATCTCCACTATATAATCAAGGAACAATAATAACAAGACAAACAAACCTATCCACTGAGCCCATTGTGCAATCAACTGAGAAAATATCAAGGTCCAGTGGACCTGCTGCCTCTTTCGTTCTTCATCCCATATCTCCTCCAGCGTACGGTCCTACAAAAACACCATTGGATTTGGTTCATCCAGAAAGGTTCTCCTTTTAAGCACAGAACTTGAAAATAAAGAACAACACGAAACCCACTGACCTCATTGTACTCATCTCTATGACTACTATTACTACTACCCAACAGTGGTTCATTCAGATCTTCAGTGTCCGTAGTGTCGTACTTTTCGTATCTCCTCCCATCCACATCCCCATGATGAAGCCGTCTTCTCAGAGTCGCAGACGCCATTGTGTAAAGGAATAGATAAAGTGGGTAAGCCCCTGTAATAAGAGGCAAATCAAACTGACATGAAAAATTGAGACGATTTCACCACCAAGTTAAGCACTTTCATCTTGTCGGAGGTTAAAGTCCAATAAAGATTTCGACTTAGCCCTATTCATCCACCCAAGACAATGAACATTCTTAGATTCCACAAAAGCTTGTCCTAAAAACCGATCAACAGCAGTACAAACTAAGTGCCCATGTATAGCGAAGAGATTGAACAGCGACTGCGAATAGAGTTGTTCTAGACAAACCCGACAAGCCCTAGAGAAATAAGACTAAGACAATCGCAGAAGGAATCGTCAATTTCGCAAATTACACGGCGTAGCATCCGCACAAAATGCAGTAAACCGGCAAACGAAACAGAATAAGAGCTCGCCAGAAACCCTAATCCTCGATTAAGGGGGAAAATATTTACAAGACCCAGATCTCTTGAAAACTGCGAATCCCAGATTCAGCTTCCGCGCCTCGTTTCTGGAAGCTTGAAAATATCGCAAGTCCAAAATTTTACGAATAAACATAGATCATGAAACAGAAACTAGGGCTAAGAAGGAAAAAAAAAAAAAGAATCAGTTCGATCGATTCTCTTACGCGACTCTGAATTTGACGGAAAGCTGATGAATTGCTTCCGGGGAAAGGTAGGAAGAGCCCACGAAATCTGAAAACTAAGAAAAAGGTCTCAAGGAAACTGTCGTAGCAACGCAACAGGTAGACATTAATTAATAATTAATTATATATAGGGTTTATTCAGGTCAACGACCTCTGGACATGTTCAAACTAGGATCCGGTTTAGGGTTTCGGTTTAGAGATTGTACCACTCGGTTCGGCAATCTCGGTATTCAGATTCATTACGGTTAAACAAGCGCAATAACAGACACCAAGTAGAAAACGCATTCCTTGCGAAAGAGAACTCCAAGATTTACAATGTCCCTTCATATCCAAGAAAATAAAAATTTTAACACAAAAACACTTTTTATGAGATACAAAATCAACCAACCAATTAATAAAATCACAAAAGCACAATGAAGAAAAAGAACCAACCCCACAAAGAGTGGAAAAAAAAACACCAAGACTCAGGACAGAAAACCCCTGCAAATGAAGATTATTATGAAATGCATAACCTCGGATTTAATCAGAGTCGCTCGAGCTCGAAGAATCAGATTTCGATTCCTTCTTCTTTCCTTTTGCCTCAGAACTCTGTGCAGCGACCTCAACCTCCTCACCCGTTTCGGGTTTCGCTCCCGAGGTGGAAAGGGAGCTTCTTTCTTCATCATTAGAGCCGGTGGCTACTGCAGGAATCGCTCGTTCAGATGTGGTGATTTCTGTGGCGATCCTCTCCTTCGGTTCAGAAGCTTCCGGAACCTCCTCCCGTGATGTAACTTCGACAGTGGAAACATCCAATGACTTCTTTACTTCACGTTCTGCCTCTTCTTTCCCATCTTCAGGTGCATTGTTCATAGGAACGTTTGCGTTATCGGCAGATCTTTCCTCCACTGAGGACAATGGTGACTCGGGTTTAACCCCGCTCCTGAATTCTGCATAGCCATCTTCTGATTCTGGTGACATAGGTTGCTTCATTGCTTTATCGAGTTCTTCCATTGACCTAGCTTCCACAACTTCTAGCTCTGACTTCGTCTCTCCTGAATTTTCGGATGTTTCCAGAGCTAGCTGATCTTGAACAGTGCTCGGAAGAATAACCTCATCAACCTCAGATCCTTCGCGAATCTGCTGGAAAGCGGATTGTATATCTTCAACTGATCTCGCTTCAAGAACAGGCAGAACCTCCGTCCTTTCTGCAGCAATGTCTGGTTCTCTCGTGGATGGCCCGGGTTCAGAATCCGTAATGACTTCCTTAACACTGAAGTCTCCAATCGTGTCAAGTTCAGACAAGATACCTTCATCGATCTCCTTTATCTCGTCTGCCTCATTGATAACTTCTGGAGGGCTATGAGATATTGCATGTAACTCTGTTGGTTGGCGTAATGGTTCTGATTCTGATACATGATCGAGCTCCTCGTATATCGTTTCATGGAAAAATTCCGCACTACTAGCTTCACCAACCATAGGTGTTTTATACTCGGGAGATTCCGGAGGAGGCGAGGATGAGGCAGAAGTCAGACAAGATAACTCGATTGTTTCCTCCGCATCGTGATACTCATGGAAAGTAATGTTTCTAGAGAAAGACAACACTAACAGGGCCTGTCCGAGTTGGTTGCTGTAATAAACAGACGATGTCGTGGTAAGAAACAGATCTCAACTATAACAAATAGAAAAACATACAGAGTTCCAATAATTTGGGAAGTATCTTACAAAAACAAGTTCAGTGACTTACTTGATGCTCGCTGTGTTCAAGGGTTGATTGTTCAACAACTGATTTATCTGACCACGTCAGTTCTCGATTTGATTCAGATGGAGATGATGTTTCTCCAGAAGGCACATTCCGAGCACTGGCATTTACAGAGTCTACTTCGATGTCCATGGTCCGGTTAAGACAAGAATCTTCCTTCTTATCAGAAATTGATGATTGGCCCTGAGCTAGCTCGTCATTAAACGAGTGTGTCTCAACATATTCAACTGCTCCAGAAGACAAAGTAGAGTAACTATCAACTGGAACGTCTGCATCAAAGGTCACAGAAGCTTGGCCTTTTAGCTTTGGAGCTTCCTCTTCTTCATGTGTTATTCCTTCAGCTACTGACATGTTTCCAGACGTTTCTGCTTGGTCGTGCAAAACATCAAGTGTTTCTTCCAGATTTGTCGGATTCTCCCTTGTGTCTCCAGTGTCCAAATGTGGACATGTCTGATGAGTTGAGAAATGTCCAACCTCCATTGCAGTTGGTGCTTCCTGTTCTGTAGGAGAAGCCAAGTCTCCAGAAGACATAACATTATCTGAACCTCTGGTATCGACTGTCTCTTTGACGTCTTCTCGGTCCTCTTGAACAGAAACAGAAAAAGGGGTGTTATCCTCACGGCGAGAAACAGTGTCATTCTTGTCGAGAGACAGAGAAGATGGATCAAATGGGGCATCCTCGAATACAGGGGATGAAATCATCGAATCATTTTGATCACCAAGTCCAGTCTCAACAGTGGAAAGGCTGACCACTCCCACTGCTTCACTCGTTCTTGATACAATTTCACCAGAAGTATTCACAGCGGAAGTAGAATGAACTTCCTCAAGATCCGAAGGTCTTTGATCTGTGCATTCCGAGTAAACTTCCGGTTCTTTATCCTCACTTTCCCCTACTTGCTCCCCACTCTGTCTAGGTATCTCTCCTTGGTTATCAGAAGATACTGAGGAAAAAGACGGGACTCTACTAGCTGAGGGAGGACTTGAATCATATACAGGTCCTTTGTGGTGATGATCATCCACCAAGCTGCAAAGAGTATGAAGCTCTGATTCCTCGAGCGAAGGTTGTGCAGTAATGAACGAGCCCTCACCAGACTGTTTATCATGATGTTCATCATCATCCATTCTTGCCAATTGCATATCTGATTCTCCAAAAGAATGCCCGAGAGGGATACCCGATTGTTTGCTAAGATCAACTCTATGCTCCAATCTCATCGATGATTCTCTCTCCTTAAGATCAGGAATCTTTTCTTCTTCTCCTGATGAAGATGATGCGCTATCACTGTGATCATCGTCATCTTTACCAGAATTTTCTCCTTCTATCATGTTTGATTGCTCCTCATGATGACTTTCTCCGCCACCCAGTGTTATCTCCGCCACACCATTGTGAAGATTCCGGCTACCAGCTTGTTCACTGAAATCGACATCTTCTGACGAATGGCTCTTCTCATCATCCTCATGGTCAGAGGCTGGATCAGCACTAGACATTCCAATTCCTCGATCAACCTCGTGTTCATGCACCTTCTTGTCATCATCCTCCAGGCCCGTGCTCACAGATTCGGTATCGGGAACAGAACTGTCTTTTGACTCGCTAACTCCGCTCAGCTGTCTCTCAAATCCGTAATAGCTTGTTCCCTCATTAGCTAACTTTTCTAGCACAAAAAAGGGCCGTAGCCTGCCGTTCCTGTCTTGTCTAGGACCTCCAAGCATTGATGCTCCCACACTGAAACTTTCATGTCTTCTGAAAACCGGTTCATTTGGATGGAATGGCGAGAATTCTTCCTGGAAACTGTCACCTTTGAGGTCTGGCTTTTCATCATTTTGGTCGTACGGAATACTAAAAGGATTTCTCCTCGGCACCAAAACAGACGGGGCAGATCCAGGGATAGGTGGTAACCCCATATCATCATACGAATCATAAGGCAGATCAAATGGATTACGCCTTGCGGTTGAAATGGGTGGGACATTAGAGGGAGTATCAACGCCGTCAAGGTCAATAAGATTCCTCTCAGACATCAGTTTCATACTTTGACGAGCCGTTCTCCTTGCAATAAGATTCTCCAACCTTTGGTTTCTTTCAAGCTCGAGACTTCCAAGATCAAGAACAGTTTTTTGGTCATCCTCCGTCCATTTAATTGCTGATTTACTTTCATCCTCCTTGTCTTCCTTTGTTCCTTCTTCTTCTTCTTCTTCGTCTCCTTCATCCTCTTCATTGTCATTCTGGCTGTCTTCCTCTTTTCCATGGTCTTTGCTGTCAATATCAGATTCAATCCCTTCACTTTCAATATCAGATTCAACCCCTTCATCACTACTACTCCTATGAGGGCCCTCTGAAGCAGCGTCTGATCCTTCCTGGGATAGGTTAGCAGGATCCGGAACTTCCGAATGTAAAAGAGGGTGAAGCTCGTCGAGCATTGGTATTATGTCTGTCATGGAAGCATCGGGGGAGGAACTCTCTGCACCATCAGACTCAGAATCCAATGAGTCATCACGATCAGCATCGTCGTCCTCGTCATCATCATGCCTCATTGGTCTCCAAGGTGAGACTGGAGATAAATCCATCTGTTCATCCCTGGCATCATCCATCACATCTTCTGAAGATCCACCAGCTTCCCTCCCTTGTTTTCCATTGTTTTCTATCAGTTTCTCCTCCACCTTCTTACCTGACTCCACCACAAGGGGTGCCAACTCGAACATAACCTGATTCATGCGTTTGCTCTCGTTCGGAGTCTCGTCAACCGAAGGTCTATGATCAAACGAGAGAGTATCTTCCTCAAATTCACTCACATGGCTCTCTCCTAATCTACCACCACCACCATCATCATTTCCAGCATCCGATACATCTTTCTCCTTGTTCATGAATCTCTCTACCGCAAAACCCTTGTCCTCTCTCTCAACAACAATGGCGTCCCTAGCAACATCTGTTCTGAAAAGAGAAGCCTCATGGACAACTTCGGGCTCCTTGTCGATTTCAGGTATGTTCGGCTGCCCGAAACTCAGTATTGTGCCAAGCAAAACGGCAGTACAGATCACAACAGGAGATGCAGACACCAACAAAGAGAACACGACAGGAGAAGTTCTGTACAGGAGAATCAGGAAACCGACAAAGCCCAAGAGAAAGGGATGATGGCGAATCCATCTGCAGGATATTCTGATCGATATAACAATCAATCTCCGAATCTGAACCCCGAATTCTGACCGATCACGAATCATCTTTTTTCTCAAGTTGGGTTTCTGAAAATCCAAGAACAAACAATCAGGACTTAGATTAAAATTTTTTAAAAAAATTCCACGTGAGAATCAAAACAAATTCCTGACTCGTCTTATATTGGATGAAGAAGAAGACATTCGTATACCTTCTGGAATTCGACCAGACGGATCAGGCAACGCCGATCAAACCATGCCCGCGGCGGGAGAAAGCTAAAGAAAACTGCGACAAATCCCGACCAGTCAACAAATTCTCGATCGGAGAACGATCGAAACGGAGAAATGCGGAGACTTTAATTGTGATCGGAGAAAAATATTAGCTCCGGCGATCGAGAGAGAGAGAGAGAGGGGAGAGAGAGAAACAAAAGAAATGAAAAGGGAAAAGATAAATGGAAAGCAGGGACCTTTATCACCTTTACGAAGCGGCCAACAGCTATAAAGAGCTGTTGTGTTTCTTGAATCTTTACATTACAATATCCATTTCTTTTCTTCACAATGTCCCCTTGATTATTTATTTTAATATATCAGTTATTTTGTTTATGCATTACAATTCCTTTTCCATAAGTACAGGCAAAAACTATTTTTTTACTTATAGAATATATATATATATGTCTGTATTTTATGAAATTGGCATCTGTATATTATATATGCATATGGTATCTGTATTTTATATGTGCATATTTTGTAAAAGCTGACATTCGGGCAAGAAAGGTATTTGAGCAAATATACAATGGAATTGTACTCTTATTAGTCTATTATTAGTATGTGCCTTATGAATTTCACACCAATAAAGATATGAATAAATATCAATTTGAATTTGGATCGGACTTATATAATTCAACCTATATCATATTTTTATTCATACATTGTCACTTTAGACTATTGGTTCTCTCGGGGGAGGGGCACTTTAGCGGGTGGGGGGTCTTTTGATTTGAGAAAAAGATTGGGGGGTAAATGTAAAGAAATATTTAAAATCAGGGGGAGAAAGAAAATAAGAACCCAAAGGTACAGTTGATGACCGCCAAAGTCGGTTTTTATGGATAAAATCAATACTCAAAAAAGGCAGAGTATACGACCAAAAAAAAAAAAAACTGGTCGTGAGAGGGTCCCGTCAGGTCCTCTTTTCCCGCAAACCCCTTCCGAGAGAAACCTCGGAAGAAATTCTCCATCTTTTTCCAATTCTTCGGCGAAAAAGGGAATACACTTTGCTTTTTGTTAAGAAGAAACGGACCCAGAAGAAGAGAGAAAGCCCGATTTGCAGGAAGACCTAGTCTCCTTCGGGTTTGGACCCGAATACACAGAAATGAAGGGATGTGCGAGGAAGAAGACCCAAGTCGTGAATGACGCCGTTCAGGCGGATACGGCGGCGGGAGACGGCGGGGAGAGCAAAAAGAGAGACGTTGTCTCCGGCGGAGGAGGTGGTTACGGCGGGGAGTCGGCTCTTCGCGAGGTGGGTGATGATGGGCTTAACGAGGATTGGGAAGAAGAAGGACAAGGAGAAGAATATGAAGAGGAGGAATATGATGGAGAAGAGGAAGAAGAAGATCAAGAGGAGAGGCCGAAACTAGACGAAGGGTTTTTCGAAATCGAAGCTATTCGTCGCAAGAGAGTTAGAAAGGTAAGATCTTTTGGTTTTTTTCGATCTCTATTATCGGCGAAGAGGCAAATGTGTTTCTGGGTATTGCTTGTTTCCGATAAGTATGGAGATTTTAGGTTGTCTGGAATTAAAATCTGTAGATGACTTTGTTTAATGCCAGTTGTTGGTCCCTCGTTAGGAAAACCTGTGTAATTCAATGATCATAACAAAGCCTGTGGAGTCTCTGCTATCTATTTTTGTGATGTTTCCAGAGAACATGGAAAAGAGAAAGATCTGCCAAAGTAGTTTAGAAGCAAGGCTATCTGTGTTTATTGTGTAGTATGAAGAAAATGATGATTTGTTTTTGTGTTTGATTTCTTCTTTGGTTGGTGCTGCCAATGTCTTTACCAAATGGCGATGTGGTGATGATAGGGAAAGCTCCAGTATCTAATTAAATGGTAGGTTCTTCGAACTGTAATCGTTTCATAAATGGATACTCATGATTTTCTGTTGATATGAACTCTGTCGTTGAAGGCGTGGATGGCCTGAAACTGCAAACACTTGGGAGCCTCTGGAGAATCTCCAGTCTTGCTCCGATTTTATCGATGCATTTGAGGAAAGGTAAATCCTTTTTTTTCTCTTCTTTTTCTTCCTTTGCAATATGTCTAATTTATTTATTTTCCTCATCTAGCATTTTTTAGTTACTTTTAATTTGTTGTGTTTGTTATTTTTCATGGTTTTTGTTCATAATTCTTTTCATTTTGTCTCGTGGGAGTTAAAAAGAGGATGATATCGTGCTATTCGAAAGTTTGTGTTTCTAAAGATGATTTGCTTTCTTTGTACAAATTTAAGGTACAGAAGCCATGAAGAGCTTTTGTTTAGTTTTGTGTTTGAGATCTTTGTTCTTGCTATGGTGCTGTAGAAGGGCATAACAATGGTGGAGCATCATTTAAAGAGGGATATTATTATCTTTGTTAATTTGTTAAATTGCTATTTGCTTCAAAGTTTGAGATCAGGAAAGCATGGTAGGAGACGGAAACGCAAATCCGGAGGGTTTCATTTTCAAATAAAGAAGAAGCAGCCTCGTTCAGTGTCTACTTCTCATGATGCTACATGTGCTCTAACTGTTTTCATCGACAAATCAACGACAGACCTCAACGGTTTTACTCGAAAAGTAGGTCGGGAAGTGAAGAGTGCTAATCTAGACAACCAAGTTGATGAAATCGGTGGTAGTGATGGTGTTAGTTCTAAGGGAGAGGAGGAAGAACACGATCCCACACTTAACGAACTTAGAGGGCCAGTGTCTAATAACGAGGTCCATACAAATAACTCTGTGGGATGTTCCCATGGAGGTGTTTATTCAGAAGGCGATGTTCCGAAAAATGGCCTTCTTAAGGTTCGTTCCAAGGAGCTTGATAAGAGCGGTCGGTGCATAGGGGCCAAGCGAAGAAAGTCTGGATCGGTGAAAAGATTTAAGCATGATGCTACCACTAGTAAACCTACCACGAATCCGAACCCGAGTCCTGATTTGACTGCACTGGACACTTTTGGCGCGATTGTGAAGCTAGGGACCGAGTATCATGGCGTGACGGAAAATGGGTTGTGCCAGAAAACCAAGATGGAAGAGTTGAATATCACAAAGATCCTTAAGCCGATAAGTTTTTCGGCCTCTGTGTCAGAGAACGTTCAGGATGTGTCGGTAACCTTCACGGCATTGAGGTTTGTCTTGATGTTCTGTCTCCGCACCAAGAGTAATCTTTTTTTTTCCTTCCCATTTTGTCAACTGTCTTCTTATACTTACAGGTAATATAGGTAGTTGAAAACTTCTAATAGGATCATTGGACAATCATATGTACATTATGATTCTGCAGTTGCGTTTTAACGTTATCTACGTGTGCTCGATAGGTCGGACGGGGAAGAAGTGACTGTGGACAACAAATTTCTCAAGGCTCAAAACCCTCTTCTGGTAAAATCTATTATCACCCGTTTTTTCGAGTTTCGAATCTTGAATTGGAATTATCTGAAAACTTGTATACTTATCCTAAAGAAGGTTCCATTCCTGCTTCTGCTTTGGTTCCAGTTGGTTGATTTCTATGAGCAACATCTCAAGTACAATCCTACTTCTTGATTCGGCCCTAAGATCACACGGAAAAAGGGTTAGAATTGTTTGTACTCTTCATTTGTTTGTAACTCTGTAGGTAGACAGATCAGTGTGGGGGGGAAAGAAACTGGAAATGTATTTGTTTGATAGCTTCTGTCTCATTGTATATACGCATCGGTTCTCGGGGGATTAGACAAAGATTTTGCATAAAGCAAACTTGGAAATTTTCCGACAAGACTGACGTTAAGTGTTAGTTACACTTGTGTGGGTTTTTAGTTCCTGACTGTGTACGGAGATCAATGATCATGTTTCAATTTCTCGGTCTAACAGCAAACCAACCACTCCACTTCCTGGTTAAACGCACCGGTTACCAAATTGTACCAAACTTTTATTTTTTTCTTGCGATTTGTTTTAGATGTATATCACGTGACTCGTGAGTATTGACATATAAATAAGTTGGTATTTTTTTGGTAATGGTTGAGGTGGGTGGTCGGTATCGGATCCCCCACGGAAGACGGTCCATAATTTTCTCAAATAAAATATTAAATAAACAGAGTATTCGATGTTACGTATCATCGTTACTGCGCTTTAACATATGATATAACATATATTATTATTTTAATCCAAATCATGATATAAATTACCCGTATAAAAAATATGCTTAAGAGATAGACGTCACGAGATATACTTGAAATAACTTATCTTCAGAAAAAGCAAGCGCGTGGCGTGGAAACTACGACGTGCGTATATGTAGATATCCGGACGAAGTGTGATCTTTACCATTATTGGTGGAATTTCAATTTCCTCAATCGAATTTCACAGGAGGCCCTATCTTTGGGTACGCAAATAATCTCTCTCTCTCTCTCTCTCCCGTTCTCGTTCTTCGTGTTCTTGGTGTTTTCCCCGTCGCTGGATCTGTTTCTGCGGCGTTTCGGTTTGTTGTTTGTGTTCTCGTTACCCTTTTACCGTTCTTCAATCCTTTATACAATGTGCTCCCATGATTATGTATGAATGCGAAGGCAGATGCATAGGATTGATTAGTGACTGGAATTTGATCTGAAACCCTAGAATTTCAACTTGGCTGAACCGTCAAGATTCGAAATTCTGGGCAAAAAAATGGGATTTTTCTTCATGTTTCGGTAGACCCTGAGTTATGATCTGTAAAGTTATGACCTTTAGACAGAGACCTTCTTCAACCTTAGAATCAGAATGCGCTCTCTGCCCTTTCTTTAGATCGCATTTTCTACTACGGAACTTGCCCTGTCTCTTTGGTATGGCTATACCCTTCTGAGGATTGATGGTACTCACGCGCCGTCTTTATGTCCTTTATCTGGAGATTAGATGTATTTTCGCCATCTTGTCCCTTCCCGACCTTCCTTGCTCTGGCGCAAGTGGCATGATGTCCTTTCGAGTTCCTTGTGCAGAGGTGTCTTAGATGATGAACATTTGTGCATCCAATTCGGCTTTGTTAGTATGAAATGTATTCTCACTTGTCTCACATCTTCACATATTGGTCTGAATCACAAGAAATATGATTGTTGATAACACCTTACAGTGTTACATAGCCTCTGTTTATCTCATCATTATCTTTACTGAATTTCTCTTCCGTTTGATTATCCTAACGCTGAGATGTTTGTGGAAATTCAATGTAGCAAAGGATTTGAAGTAGTAAGTGAAGATGGGAAAGGACCAGCATCACGATGACAAGGGTTTCTTTCAGCACCTAGCTGGATATGCTGCAGGAGGGCATTATCCTCATCATGGCTATGGATCGCCTTATCCATATCCGCCGCCTTCTCACGGCTATCCACCGCCCGCTTATCCTCCTCCTCCGGGCTACCCGCCGGCCGCATACCCGCCTCCTCCTCCTCCACACGGAGGGTATCCTCCAGCGGCTTACCCTCCCGCCGGCTACCCTCCTCACGGCTATCCCGGCCCATCCCATTCCGGTGATTAACCTCTCCCTTTCTTTTTTTTTTCCTAAGTAGTCTCTTGCAAAATATTCTTTAAGGTTTGCCTACACTACATTCTTGTGCATCGGGCTGCCCTTTAATAACACGAGGTCTTGCCCTTCAGCTACTTTCTTCTTCGTCATTTATGTTCTGACACGATTGTTAATGTTTGAGCTGTGTTGCATCTTCTGTAACGTGAGCAGGGCACGGCGGGCTAGGAGCCATCATAGCCGGGGGGGCAGCGGCAGGCGG